CTGTGAGTCAGTGAAAGGTTGATTGATCCACACAGGGCTATATGGGCAGCTGCTGCAGCCTGGCTGACTTTTGGTCCTTACTTAGAGTTAGGGTAAGCTTAAACTCATCTGAGATTCATTCTGGGGCCCAGGATAAAGAAGCAATGCGTGTTTGTAGCGGCACAAAAGAATGGCATCAATGTGACAGAATCCTCAGGATGGGTATGTCGTCATGGCTGCTGCATGTCATTGGCCAAGCAAGTTACATAGTTAAGTAAATAAGACAATAAGATGGGAATTGTTTTCTGCCTCTAGAGGGAGGGATTGCAAGACCACATGACACAGATAGGCTTCTAATGGAAGTGAAGACTGGACAATTTTACTGAAGAATGTAGGCCATTAATTTTATCTACAAAGAAGATAAGAAAATCAGTACAAGATAAGGAATGAATGAAATCCCTTGCCTTGAATAAGGTTTGGGGAACAGTGTTCACTCTGATATCTTACAAATCATGTTATATAGGGAAGAGTTGCTCTTGCCTTCACTATATAGAATCCCTTTGTAGAGGCCCTCTAGTTTTGATGACTTCATATCCTGTAGGTTTCTCATCTCTCTACCACCCCTGTATGATTCTAGATGTTGCTGGTCCAAGGGATGGATTTCAACATGTTGGGGGAAGTAGAAATAGACTGAGATAAAACCACCTTTTCTTTTCCTTTGGAGCCAATCAGCTCCTGTCTTTCAAAACAAGTTACTTCTAAATAGATGGCCTTCATTGGAGTATTAGTCAAAGGATGGGTTATGAAGAGGGAGCATGGGCAGACTGGTTAGGGCTTGAGCTGTCAGAAGGCAGAGGTGTGGACAGGGTCTTCTTGAGATATCCCAACATGTTATGTCAGAAAATACCTCAGTGAGGCATTCTGGGAAAAATATAGAGCTTAATTGATGATAACAGTCTTGATAAATGTAGTCTTTAAGCTTTCCCATTTCTTCTGAATTCAGAAAAGACTTACCCCCTTTAGAGGTCGGGGGGGGGTGCGGGGGACACATATGACTTGCTTTGGACAACAAGAGATGAGTATATATAGGATGTGCAACTTCCAGGGAGAGACTTTACCATGGCTCCTTCCTGCTGTGATTATCATACATGTGTATGTGTAGAAAGGGATCTCCATCCTTCTAAGTCACCGAGTGATGACAGGGGCAGCTCTCCTGATGTCATGTAACAGACATGTAAAGTGAGAGAGAAGGCAACCTTTGATGGTCAAGTCACTTTTGAGGTAGTTAAAGCAATACAGCCCTGCCTGTGATGCCTGATATGGGTCAACTCAGAGGAGCCCTGAAGAATCTGGGATAGCAAAATCATGACCTTGGACATTCTGGCTCTCACAAAACTGCTAAATGCTGAAATATACAACAGAGATTACACTTATGAGAAGAGTGTGAATGTTACAAAACTTAAAGAAATTGGAAGTATCAATAAAACCAATAAAGTGTGGATTGAGGAAGACATTAAATATAGTTTTTTACTTTTATAGTGGGACTTTGCATCATCTGTCTTTAAATAAAAATTGTCATTTAAACCCAATGATGCTGTTTCTCCTTCATGTTATACTTTGAAAGTTTGAACCTTTATTTTTATGTGTATGAATGTTTTGCTTGCATGTAAATATATGTGCACCACATATACAACTAGTGCCTAAAGTGGCCAGAGAGGGCACTGGATCCCCTGGGACTGGAGTCACAAATGGTTGTGGGTGCCATGTAGGTGCTAGAATTGAACCTGGTCCTGTGGAAGAGAAGTCAGTGCTCTTAACTGCTGAGTCATCTCTCCAGTCCTACACTTTGAATTTTTAACCAAGAAAAAAGTTTCTTTTTCTTATTCTCCGTTCCTTTCCCTTTTTTCCTTCCTTCCCTCCTTCCTTCCTTTCTTCTTTCCTTCCTTTCTTTCTCTTATTAGCATTTTCTTGCTGGCCCTCAAACCAAGGTCTTGTGCATGCTAGGCAAATACTCCACCACTGAACTCCATCCTCATGCCTGTAAGACCTTCATTTAGAAATGTATCATTGTATCTAATGATGAAAGGGATTCAGTAGATTTAGTTCTACTTTACTTGTTAAAATAAAACTAGATGCCAACACTCTTGTCTCAGGCAATAAATTTGAATATTTCAGGTGGAAGGGGGAGGAAGGAGGTATGATGGTTAATTTTGTCAACTTGAAAGAAGCTAGAATCACTGCAAGATGGGCTGCTGAGAACGCCTGTGCGGGATTTCCTTGTGTTCATTGAGGTTTGAAGATTCCCACTGCAGGTGGCTCCATTCCCTGACTGGGATCCTAGACTATTTAAGTGGTGAAAAGAAGCTACATGTATCCATTGCTCTGTATCCATTGCTCTCTCCTTGACTGTGGGTGCAATGGAACCAGCTCAAGGTCCTGCTGCTTCAGGAAACCTTCCAGATAGACTGTAACCTGGACCTGCCAGCCAAACAAATCCTTCCTCTCTTAAGTTGCATTTGCCAAGATACTGTATCACAGCAACAGAGAAAGAACACTGGGACAGGAGGGATCCCAGGAATCCTTCTCTGGTAGGAGTGTGAGGTAGGAAGAGAAGGGTATAAACACAGAACATTAAGGAGAATATGGCTGCTTTGGATAAGTGGGGTTTAGCCCTACTGGGGTGACTGTTTTAGGACTGTTCTGTCCAGACGACAAGGATACCATTTTTCCACCAACTTTACCCATCCATGTCTCCTCATCCCCCTGGTTATTGACTGCATGGTTTCTTCTCCTACCTCTGTAGGCTACTCCTGCTCCTGTAACTAGAGAGACATCATCTGCCCTAGGAGAGGGCATCATATGTCCTAGGAGAAACTGGAAGAATGAATGCCTGCAGGAAAAGGCATCAACATGACCGAGTAAAACCTTTCGGAGTTTAAAAAGCTTGTATAGTAGTTTACCATCAGCTGAATTATGCTGAATTGAAAAAGCCAACCTCAAAAGGCTACATACCATGTTATTCCATTTATATGAATTTCTAGAAAAGCCAAAACTTTGACAGAAAATCATCTTGTAGCTGCCAGGAGCTGGGAGTGGGGGAGGGGTGGCTATGGAGAGGCAGTACTGTACTAAAAGACAAGTTCCACTGTGTGGAATTGTACCTAAAACCCCAGCACTGATGGCCTTAAAAAGCATGTCTGCATTCTTTGCTCTTTCAAGGAAGAGGAAATGTTCCAGAGAAATTAAATAACGTACTTCTAAAAACTAGACTATGAAATCAGGCAAAAGGGATGTGGCCTGAGTCAGAGACTGTGTCTTCCTGTGTCTCTGTCTCTGCATTCTCTCTCTCTCTCTCTCTCCTCTCTCTCTCTCTCTCTCTCTCTCTCTCTCTGTGTCCTCTTTTCACATGCTGTACCATGAGCAGCCCCGTGGAAGTCCAGGTGATGAGGAATGGAGGCCTCCAGCCAACAGCCATGCGAAGGAGCCTCCTTAGAAATGGACTCTCCATCCCTGTCCTAGAGGAAGCTACTACCCAGCTAACAGTCCATGACCTCATGAGACAAAACCTGAGTTACCTTCAGGGTCCTATCCCTTAGGACCTTGGACACAGGAGAAGAAGTCTTAATCCAAAATACTTAGAGCATTCAAATTTAAGACTCTGCATATTCCTAATTCAAAACCCCTAAATCTGAAATGTTCCAGATTGCTTCCAAGTTTGAAGCATTTCAGAGTTTTAAAATTGGTATTGTTATATTACTGTGTGTGGAGCATGTGTGCCACAGCGAGCAAGACAGGCCAACCTTTGGGAATTGTTTGCCTCCTTCTACATTTATGGGATCTCTGGGGGCTTAAAAGTTCCTAGACTTACAGCCATTCATCCTCCCCACCCCATTCAAGATTCTCATGGCCAGAGTTACTCTAAATGTAGTAGGATTGTTTTTGCTTGTTTGCTTTAAGCTGTTGTGTATTTGAGATAATTTATTATATGGCAACAGGTGACTAAGACACTGACTGGAACTTTAATGCTCATTTTAAAAACTATGCATAGAGTGTCATATTAGTTTTTGGAGAGATATTTGGCATTATGTCACCTAAAGTGAGTGATGGAGGCTTCTGGGTATGTTTCAAGGTGAATTTGGGTTTTCTTGTTTTATTATATTCACAAACCCTTGATACTCATGCACCATTAAGGAAAAGCCACACATGGTGGCTCATACCTACAATCACAACTTGGAAGTTTGAGTCAGTTGAGCCTACATAGTGAGTTGCATGCCAACCTGGATTATACAGGGAGACTTTTGTTCAAAAATTACAAATAAAAATGTTAAGTGTGTGTGTGTGCATATACATTCAAAAATCGGGGAGATGGTTCAATCAGTATTTGTCACATTCGGTGGTGGTTTGAACAAAAATGGCCCCTACAGTTCCACGGGGAGTATTGGAGGAAGTGTGTCAATGGAGGCAGGCTTTGAGGTTTCATATGCTCAAGCCATGCCCAGTGTGACATTCACTTCCTGCTGCCTGCTGATCTAGATGTGGAACTCTTAGCTACAGTGAGCCATGGTGAATCATGACGATAATGGACTCACCTCTGAAACTGTAAGCCAGTCCCAGTTAGGTATTTTCCTTTCTAAGAGTTGCCACGGTCATTGTGTTTCTTCGCTGCAATGGAAACCCTAACCATGCAAACAAGAGGCCCCGAGTCTGGGTCCCTAGCACCCACATCAAATGAAATCTGGTATGCTGGCACAGAGACAGGAGGATTCCTGATACTAGTCTTGGCCAGCTAGTCTTGCCAAATTAGTAAGCTCCAAGTTCAGTGAGAGAACTGGTCTAAAAATATAAGGTGAAAAACAATAGAAGAAGACAGCTGTGCCAACTTCTGGTGTCAACCAGCACACTTGTGTACATCATACACATATGTTCACACACACACACACACACACACACACGATAATAAAATTAAAAGCATAAGCAATGACTTGGAGCCTGGGTGTAGGTGTCATTTATCTGGGGTGGAGAGGCCTTGCCAGGTGTTCACAGGAAGCAGGAACACCACTCCTTCAGGCAGGTGGAGCTCTGGCGGGCTTCGTGCTCCGTGGCACCGCAACAACAGATGATCCACCTCTGGAACTCCGCCTCATTTTTGTGCATCAGAAGGAACTGTCCCAGCAGTATGTAGGCCTGGGGAGAGGAACAGGAGGGAGGAAGGCGGGGATATCAGAGTCCCATTCAGGTGTACCTGCTCTCCTCCGACCTTCAGTACTGGGTTGACAGCCGAAGGTGGGGAGGGGGGTGGCTCAGACGGGAGGAGTCAGTCCTCAGGCCAACTCCTGATAAGCCCTGGAGAGAGGTGAGATCAAGTTAACCACACGTGTCTCTCAGGTCTGGTCTAGGGACTGCCATCCTGCAGTGACATCTAGGCCTTAATCTCAAACTTGAAAAAGTTCTCTGGGGTTTTGTAAAAGCAAAGTTTCTGACCCAGCATCTAAAACCAGGGTGGGATACAAGGATGCCCATTTCTAATAGGCTCCCAGGTGAGGATGGTCCAATGACAGCAGTTTGGGGACATAAGGGATAGGCTGCTAGCATACCTCTGAACTTTTAGGCCTGTCATTTAATCTTTTCTTTGGTGGTGGCGGCGGCAGTGGTGGGTATATATGTGCACTCTGTGAACTAAATCTAGTGTCTTGCATGTGCTAGGCAAGTAGTCTACCAGTGAGCTATATCTGCAGTCCAATTATTCCTTCTTCAAAATACCTACAAAGCCAAGCTGGAGTGTGGCTCCTTAGCCCACTGCTTTCTCAGTGGCTGGGATATAGGGTACCTCAACCTCAGCACCACTAGTATACTGGATGATTCTGCATTGTGGAGACTATCCTATGCATTGCAGGACATTTAGTAGCATCTATGCTATCCCCTGGATGCCAGTAGCATCTTCTTCCAAGACAGAAGCAAACGTAAGAATTTCCAGATATTGTCAAGAAATCTTTTTCGCTTGAGAACCACTGCAGGTGTGCCTGGCTAATGAAGGCCATGGTGGCATCCATTTGGCTTTGCGAAGGAGATTCACAGAACCCGAGGCACTGCCCTGCCCTGCCCTGCCCTGCCCTGCCCTGCCCTGCCCTGCCCTGCCCTGCCCTGCCCTGCCCTGCTAATGAGTGCTTGTCAAATGGAATGGCAAGAGAAGATACAAAAGCTGAGGACTGTCATCCCCGATGCAGACAGCATAAATCATGCTTAACCTTGACCCTCTTTTTCAAGCCTCAAACTGGAACTGGATCACTGGACCCTCTCCTCTCTCTGAATGAGCTTTTCTTCTTCACAGACTGAGCAACAAGCTACCAATTTCCCTGTCTCTCCAGTCTATGGACGGCTAAGGTGGAGGCTCTAATAGTTCAAAATTAAATAATAAACAAATCTCCTCTAATAATTATATATAATTTCCCGGTCCTGTTTCTCTGGAAACTCCTGATAATATAATTCCCGAGAATATCTGTGAATAAAAAAACCACACGAGCATAGATGTATGAAAATGCCACCACAGAAGCCGGTACTTTGTATGCTAACTCTAAAACTTAATTTAGAAAGTTAGAGGCTAGGGAAATAGATTAGTGAGTAAGATATTTTCTGCACAAGCAAGAGGACCTGAGTTCAAGTTCTGAGTACTCACATAAGAAGCTGCCTGTGGCCATGCATGTACCTCTAACCTTAATGCTGTGGGGCTCAGAGATTGCTGGGGCTTGCTGGCCAACTGCCTAGCTCCAGATTCAGGGAAGACCCTGTTTCAAGAAAGTTAGACAGACAATGATAAAGCAGGGTAGTTGATATACTATTCCAGACTCTGCATGTACACCCACATGCATGTAACACACATAACACATACGCACCAAAACAAACATAGAAGACACCCTGATTCTTGGTTATCTTGCAATTTTGCAGTCATGAGTTTTCTGCCTGCTTGTCCCCTACAGCTCTCACACCTTCACCAGACTGTTATTAGCAAGGAGCAAAACAGTAGAGTGATGGAGGTAGCCACAACATGGCAGAGGCTGTATTTCAGGTCACAGTACATATCCATCTCTGGGACTTGGCTTGAGGACTCTCTCTAGCATAGAAGGAAGGAGACCCAGTTTCTATCCACAACTTCAAGATCTGGGCCCTTCCAAGAAAACTTGCAGGGGTTAATTTGAAAAGAGAAAGGAGCTATGGACTTCCATTTTCTTTTCTTTTCTTTCTTTTTTTATTTTTTTTTGAGACAGGGTTTCTCTGTATTGTTTTGGAGCCTGTCCTGGAACTAGCTCTGTAGACCAGGCTGGCTTCGAACTCATAGAGATCCACCTGCCTCTGCTGCCTGAGTGCTAGGATAAAAGGCATGAGCCACCAATGCCCCCCCAGCTTGCAGTGGTCTTAAGGCACAACTTCATTTGAAAATATATAGAGAAAACCCAATGTCTTAGCACAACCTCATTTTTAAATCGGTATCCTCCCATTTTTACTGGTGGATTTTGCTGAGATGGTTTTAAATCAGTATTTTGAAGCACTGGTGTTCACTAAGTGTTCACTGGGGGCCGTGCTGCAGTTGTGGAAACGTCTAGGTGAGTACAACAGGGTTCACTTCGAGCTTCACACGAGAAGAAACATCAGTGAGATTTGTAATGACCGCTGTAGGGCTTAGGGGCTTAGCCCAGTAGCACAGTTCTCTCCAAGGCACAAGGTCCTTGCTTTGGTCCTCAGCATCAAGAGGAAGGATGACAAATAGCAAATGATCCTTTTGAGCCCATTCGAAGTCCACCCTATTAAACTAACCCATTGATTCTCATGGGTGCCCTGACCACTCTATTCTTTAGATGGTGTTCCAAACAAGGGACACCTGAGGGGTTGAGTCTTCCTCCTCCTCTGCCCACCCTGTTCTTCCATATTCCAGCCATCTGGAAACATCCAGTCTGGAGACAAAGGTATCCTCTGCCTGCCTCTGAGGCTGGCCATGGCCTCAGCTGGTGTGGTAATCGGAGCCTCTGCAGGCTGCAGGGCTCAGCAGCCAGGAAGCCCAAGAATGTGTGGCAGGCGGGACCCAGGCAAGCTTTCCAGGAACATGGCAGGCGGGAGAAGGGTCTCTGAGCCAAGCTGCAATCTGAGCCTCCATCCTTCTGGGCTTTCCCTGGAGTCCCACGCTGGCATCTTCCAGAGAGCACAGAGATGGACTGCCTTCTCGCTCAATCTTCGAGGACTTCACATTGCTCCCCAGGGAAGGGGGAGTAGTCCATGGCTCTTGTCACAACCCTGTTCTATGCCTCTTTGGTTTCCCTACTACCTCTAGAAAATGAACCTCTAACCAGAAATCCTGAGGCAAGCAGAGTAGTATAGAATCACAGACACCCCAAGCAGGACTTTCTACCTTCATTCACCCTGGCCAGCAGCCATGCCACAGCCTGGGACAAACATTTTTTCCTGTAGTAACAGATGGTGGCTCAAGGGCAGACTTGCTCTCAACTCCAAGTCCATACAGAGAAACTCTGCCAGGGTCTTCCCCCAAGCTGCGTGAACTGGTCTCTTATGACTAGTGTCCTTGTTAAACGGCAGTTATTTGAATCTGCACAGAGGCTGATCCGTGTAGTTGCCTGGGACCCTGCACACAGACCATCCACAGACTCCTTTTAATGCTATGCTGTCTTATTTATACTTCATTTCAGCCCAAAGGCTGGGAAGCGATAGGCCTTAATACATTTAAACAAAAGGTCTCATCTTGTCATTCTGCATCAGACCCTGAAAAATAGGTAGCTGGCTCTAATCTGCACTCATTAAAATGTTGAACCTTCATCATGGCACCTGGCCTTGTCAGACAGATGAGATATTGTGGTGTCTCTTATTATCAAACTTCTAGCACATTCCTTTGCCCTTGATCAGCAGTTCCCAGGCCCCAGGACAGAGTATCCCTCCCATTGTTGCAAGATACTGCTGCAATTATATGGCTTTTCTGGTTTCCTTTCAACAAAGATGCACGCTTCAGTCTCCAGTGACATGTTCAGGGGCGACCTCGCAAACCCAGTGTTTCTCAGTCCCTTCAGGCTTAAAGCACCAAGTCTTCGGTGTGAGTGCTCAATCCATAGCAGGTTCTGGCCCTCCTTTCCCTTCCCTATGCTCCTGACATATGCTCATATTGTTACATGATTCATTTATTTTAAAAAAATTAACTTTCACTGGATCCCTTGTATTTTATCTCATCACACTATGCAGAGTAACCTTCAAACTTAAGTGACTAGTTCCTTGCAAGGTTCATCTGTCAGATGGTAGGGTCCAGTGCCTGCAGAGGACAGGAGAAACCAGGTTTCTCAGCAGTTCAGCATCGAGAACCTAGGGATATGAGGAAGGCAGCAACTGGGAGTCCTGGGGCCTCCTGGTCCTGAGCTCAGCCTTCTGGCCTCTTCAAATTACAACAGAGTGACTTTGGGATGAGATTGGTTGTTTCAAGGACCCTGAGTTGGAAGAGGGTGGGTCCACTGATGCTCATGCTCACAATCTGACTATGTGTATGTGGCAGCGAGTAGGGAGACAGAACTTCAGCCTGGCTGTGGCAGGTCTAATACCATGTGCATGATGGACTTCCACTCGCGTTATCCCTTTCTACCCAGCAGCTCTCCTGCCACTGTTAATTCTTGGCCAATGCTGTCCAGAAGTAATAAGTAAGCCAGCCACGTAAGTAATGTCAATGTTTCTAGAGGCCACAGAAGGAATAAGGCATAAGAAAAAAGATGAAATGCATTCCCATAATATACTTTATTTTCTTTCATATTTTAAAAATGTCATTTCAGTGTGTAATCAATAAAAATGTTAAGAGATGTTTCACATTCCTTTTTAGGGGAAGGCTTCAGCATCAAAGAGCATGTTTGATACCTTTAGCCCATCTCCATGAAGATAAGGGCTTGGCAGACACAGGGCCAGTGGCTACCATTTTGTGTTTTAGGTCCTTAGGCCAGAGTTGATTGCCCAAGTGAACAGCAGGTGCTGAGAAACCAGAAACCATTCACATTTATTTGGCCTCTAAGCCCCTGAAGAGGTTCAGGTGAGTCAATAGTTAATGTTTTCTTCTTCTTAAAAAACAAAAAACAAACAACAACAGCAGCAACAAACCTTGTGTGCAAGAGAAAGGAGGGAGGGAGGAAGGGAGAGAGAGCAAAGAAGTATAGAGAGCTTGTGTGTGGGCGCCTATGTGCTATAGCCCACAGGTGTAGAGGTCAAAGAACAACCTCAGGTGTCAACCATTGCCTTCCAATTTGCCATTGTGTAAGATAGGAGTCTCCTGTTTCTGTCTCCCAACTTGCTGCATGTATGTATTATAGACATGCTATCACACCAGGCTTTGCATGAGTTCAGGGGATCATACTCAGGCATGGCAAATGATGTACTCCTTCAGCCATCTCCCTAGCCCACGTTTTCTTTTTGCTGTCAGGCTTCACTCTGTTGCCTAGGCTGATCTTGAATTTGTAGGCTGAAATAACTGTCTTGTCTCAATCTCCCAGGTCACTGAGACTGCAGGCACACATTCCTGCACCCTATGAGTCACAGTATTAAAAATCATTAACCATGAGGGGTCTGCTGTAGTTAAGGCTCTGGGGGTAGAGGAGGAGACATTCATTCCCCTTGTAAAATGCCAGCCGTTTGCTGGAGAGATGAAGTACGGGCAGGGGAGAAGGCACTAGAAGGACTGATGAGAGTTAGGGCAGATGTCTCAATTTCAGGCCACACCCCTGGAGAGGTGGTAGATGGGAGGGGGCCTCCTTGCTGACTAATTAATGACTTCTTGTTCCCCTTGTGTTCAGCTTCCTGGTGGCTCTGGAGAAAGCTGGTGACCTAATAAAGAGCCCGGGTAAGCAGGTGTGAGGGCAACCCAAGAAGCTGCATTCCACCAGGTATTTAGCAAGGGCACTGAAGGAGCTGAGGGAGCCAGTGCCCCTGGGAAAATGCCAAGAATGTTTTGCCAAGAAGTGTGGCCCTGAGGCAATGTTTGCTCAGGGCAAAGATGAGAACTCAGCCTGGGGAGAGAAGAAGAAAATGATGGTTGTACCTCAACAGAGGCCGGTAAAGGCAGAGCACAGGATGAGGCCCTGAAAGACCCCTCCCTGCAGGCAGAAAATGAGCACCCCACATATGCATTTTCCTTGGCTAACCCTGAGATCCCTGACTTGTGGAATCTGCTTATCCTGGATGCTGTCATTCTGGCCATGCCTACAGATCCATCAGCATCCTGATGCATTTGTTCATCTTGTAGGAGACACACCTGGGCATCTTGGGGACTCTTATGGGCCCAGTCATGTCTGATGGGTCCCTGGAGCTGATGTAGAATATAACTATCACACACACACACACACACACACACACATACACACACACACACCCCAAATCTTAATCTAAGACCCTTCCTGCTGGGTATAAGTCTTGTTGTGTTGTTTGATAGTATAATCTATGGCCATTCTTATTACCCCTGGGGACCTCAGAAAGCCAACTCCCAAAGCTGCTCTGTATTTTAATTTTATCTGATTGTGTTACTTTGTGTTGTGTTGTATCTTAAAGTGGTGTTGGATAAGGTCCTCTCAGAGGATGAGCAAGAGCTAGCGCTGAGTCACACCTGCCATGTCTGACCTCCAAAGGTAGAGCAACTCAAAACAATGGACAACAATTACCAGTCCCCTCCAGTGTCAGGAGTCGGTAGCTCTGGGAATGATCAGGAACTTGAAGGCTGGACACTGTGCTGGCCAGCTGGTCATGAGCATAAAGAGAGCTCTTGTCTGTGGGCCAAGATGTCCATAGGTACTCCCTATTGCCCTGACTGTGCATGTCAGAGTCAGAACCTGAAAAATGTCCATTTATTTATTCATTCTGTCATCTCTGCCCCATCTGTCTCTCTACCTACAATCCTGACTTGGAACAGAGTTGATCTGGAGGAGGCAAAACTACAGGGCCACAAAACAAAGCAGAAGTTGTTGGGGAAAGAGGATGCTGAGTTTCAAGGCACAGGGAATGGCTGGAGAGTTGGGACCGCTCTTTTGTCTTGTGTAATGGCTACCTGACCATGCATTTGCAAAAACTTATAGGACAGCTGTGTTTAGCAGCATATGTCTGTAACATACAGGAAAATAAGATAGAAGAACAACAAAATTGAAGCTATCCTAGGCTACACAATAACTTGAAGTCCAGCCTGAATCTCATAGTAAGACCCTATCTCCAAACAATGGGACAGACAAAAGTCATAGAACTATGTGATAAAAAGGGATAAAGTCACTGTATACCTCAATAACAAATTTTTAAATGGTGAGTGTAAAGGAACAACACAATTATGGAAACATGGTAGATAGCAAAACAATGGGCACCTTTGGGATGGGGTTTGCTCTGGCTGGGTAGAGGTCTTGGAGGCCATCTGGGATTTGGGAGGTGTCCAGTCCCTGGACCTAGGTGGTAGGTATATGGGCATATCTATATGGAAACACACTGGGTCCAACACTGTACTCTACACAGTAGAGGAATGTGTTGCTTTATCTTCATTGTCAACATATCTGGACTTAGAAATCCTCTAGGAGATACATGTTTAAGTTTCTCTGTGAAGTTGTTTTAAGAGAGAATTAACTGGATGCAGGATGAGCCATGTGAACGTAAGTTGCACCATCCTGTGCATGGAGCCCAGAGTAAAAGAGGGCAAAGGAGAAAGACAGTTGAGTGTTGGCATTCTCCTTCCCCTGCCTCCTAACAATGTTATGGACCATGCCTCCCCCACAATAATGACTATGTGACTTTGAACTGTGAGCCAAAATAAATGTTCCCTCCTTAAGTTGCTTTGAGTTAGGTATTTGGTTACAACCAAGGGAAAATAACTAATGCAAAAAAATTATTTCTTTAAAGAAAAATATATTTAATTTAAAAAATTCTCCCATGGTCAGACTTGCCTGCTTCATTTGGCTGCTTGGAGATGGTCCTCCCCCTTTATCAGGGAAGAAAGCATCAAGTCCCCTCAGCTCCACTCTGACAGTACCACAAAGTGATATTCACTTGGCTGAGTTAGGGGATGGGATTCATAGCATGTAATAACAGGTACAGTGTAGCATTCCAGTCAGAAACCATGGGCCCAAACTTTAGGATTTGGGCATAAAACAAATATAATGTCAGGTACATATACACATGCAATGGTCCTGCCCACCAAATGTTTTTGTTATATTTGTGAAAGATAACTTGATCATTAATGGCATTGCCCTTGGAAGGGAACAATATAGTTCTCATGGGACCCTGATTGGGTCTTAAGAGAGCAATTTGTATAAAAAGGGCATGAATGGGGCCTTGGAGACAGAGCTTGTGGCAGAGGACATGCTTAGCAAATGTAAGTCCCTAATTCAATCCAAAGCCCCCAAACAAATGAGTAAACAAGAGAGCAGAATGGTCCCTTTCCATCCTCTCTCTGGCTCTCTGTTTCACCGTGATCTGCTCACACCAGCTCCTGCCCATGATACCATCCTGCCATGCTGTGACGTGGCTGGGAGAGTCCTCACCAGAGGCCAGACACATAATGCTGCCCAATAGTGGACTTTCAATCTCCAAAACTGTGAACTAAGTAGAAATCCTTCCTCTATTAAGTTTCTAGAGTTGAATATTTTGTTATAGCAATGGAAAGTAAACGAATCCCTTCCATTTTCACTGGCTAACCCTGAGGCCATCCTTAGGCTAGGAATGAATCTTAGAATGACTCTTATCTCCTCACCCAGGTGCAACTCCCAGGATGCTGGTTCTCAACATGCCATTGTCATGCTGGTGCCCTGACAAGAGACAAGCGAGAAGCCATGGGCCCTTTCTTGGAGGCAGAGAGTACACCCACGTCATTGGTCCTGACAATTCTGTCCCAAATTTCAGTAGCAGGCCTATCTCTATCAAGTCCTGAGTGCTTGAGTACTGAGTTGCCTCTATCAGCCTTTGCTGCTCTGCACAGAAACAGTTCTATTTGCCATCATCTACAAGCCTTGGAGGCTCCTAAGCACATGAGGTCAGTGGCAGTGAAGTCTGTGGCACCCTGCCAAGTGGCAGCTTTTTTCTCTGATGGCCACTCACTGGGGCACGTGGCAGGGGCTGCCATTTGGCTAAGAGGAAAATGGGTTAGAAAGAGGAGATAGAGAAGAAAAAACAGCACACCTTGTTGAAACCTTTGGTGACCAAATTGATGGCAAGCTCACGGCTGATTCCATCCACCCAGGCCACATCCTTCTCCCCAATTGGTTCAGAGAGGAAGGCTCGAAGCCTAGGAGACATGTGGTCCATCTCCTGCATCAGATATGGGGAGGAGAAAGGGTTAGGAGATGTCTGATTGCTCAGACTACATTGGACATTGGGGAGGTCCCTCCACCCAAGGGATAGAGGGTAACAGATGGCTGACTGGAGTCTGTCATTCAGCATCTCCCCGGGGACTTTTAAACGCCAGGTGTGCTGTCCTGTGCCAGAGGTGCTTCCATTCCTATCAGGATGGAGGAGAAGTGTGCTGATGGCTGTGGATGAGTTAGATCAGTCCAACCCCATGACAACTGAAGGTGAGCTAAATGTTAAGAATTCCAAGCTCCTTCCCAACTCTTTCAGCCAACACACATAAACGATTTTGAGCTGGTAAGGTGACGCTGGATAAAATCACTGGCCACCAGGCTGACAGCCTGAGTTTACTTGTCTAAACCCATATGTGACAGTTAAGTTTTAGATGTCAACTTGCCACAATTTGGGGTTATCTGGGGAAATGAGCCTGTGTGGGGGATTGACTAGGTCAGGTTAGCCTATGGGCATCTATGCCTATATTGTACTATTGATTGATGTAGGACCTGGCCCACTGTGGGCAGCACTGCTCCCTAGGCAAAGGTTGCTGAACTATACAAAACAGAAGGAAGCTAGCGAGCAGGCAGATAGCATGAGTGCGTTCTTTTCTCTCTGCCCTGCTCTTGACTGTGAACGGAGCCTGACTAGCTGCTCGAGTTTCTACCTTGACATCCCTCAACAATGGTGACCTGGAATCGTAAGCTGAAATGAATCTTTTCCTCCCCATTGCTTTTTGTCAGTGTATTTGTCACAGCAACAGAAGTGAAGCTGACTTTTGATCACTATATGCCGACTGTGGCACATGTACCCACTGCCACAAAAACAATATAAAATTTTAAAAGAAAATGTCATAAGCAAACACATTGTTTTTTTTTTAAAAGAAATGTTTTCTTTGGCTAACTAACCCTTCCTCTCTCTTAGCCCCCTGATATTTTTTGTCGTATTGTAGCTTTTATCAGACTCTGTGATGGTGGGCAGATAAGGAACCCTAAAGGGCCAAATCCAGGCTGAGATTGGATGTGGCACAATCGAGGCAATTCCACTTCCTTATCAAGATTGTTGGCTTGGGAGATAGAGACAGGCAGATCTCAGTGAGTTCGAGGCCAGCCTGGCCTACAGAGTTCCAGGACAGCTCCAAAGCTACAGAGAAACCCTGTCTTGAAAACCCAAAAAAGAAAAAAAAGAAAGAAAAAATAGTAAGAAAGAAAAAAAAAAAAAAGATTCCTGGGAGTAGCCAGTACCCTGAATCTCTCCTGTGAGGTGTCTATAAGATGTCTACACTGGGGCTGGCCCTCAGCCGTAAGGCACTTGCCTGATGGTCATAAGCCCTGGATAGCTCCCCAGAAGCTAAAACAAATAAATGAAACCACCCAACAGCAAACAAACAAAAATCAAGCTCTCCATGCTCTGGACTCATCACAGTTTGAAATGCCCCCCCCACACACTTGTATTTTAAACATTTGGCCCCCAGTTTGAGGTACTATTTGAAGGCCATGGAGCCTTTAGGAAGAAGGGCTTTGCTCTAGCCTGTATTTTCTGCTTTCCACTCTGCTACAATGTGAGGAATCCCTGTCATATGCTCCCACCACCATGAGCTACTCCCATCATGCCTTTCCTGCCTCAGTGGACTGAAATGTTCTGAAACTGTGTCAGATATCCTGTCACAGGGGATGGGGGAGATATGCCCCCCTGGCTCCCTCTCTCCCAGCTTTATTGGACCCAAGCCCCTAGCCAATTAAATGAGGTTACTCCGCCCATGGTCATTGTCAATCTCCTCCCGAAATACCCCACAGACACCAGTTCTAAACACCTTTTAATCCAGTCAAATTAATGAAAATGGTAGAGCATGTTGCCTAGCATTTGAAACACCCTGGGTTAAATCCTCAAAACTAAGGGATTCGGGGAATATGCATTGCCTCATAGCATTGGCTCTATCCGCACAAGGTCTATATCCCAGCATAACCAGCTTTTTTGCTGAGCAAAGATCACCTCCTTCCTTGCTGCACTGGTTTGAACATCTCAACTGACCCCACACTGAAGGCTTGCTCATTGCAGCATCCTTTTCTTGTTTGTGTTTTCAGTTTCAGTTTGTGATTTGAGGGATAAAAGAAATCCAGTTTAAAATGGCTCACACAAGATCTAATTAGCACATGATATCAAAAAGTCCCAACATGGTCAGATACATTTGGACCAATGTAGCTCTCTTGACTCAGCCTTCCCTTGTTCTTAGCTTAAATTCTTCTGGGAAATAAGCTGGTTGCACCAGGGCCAGCCATGGCTTTTGCAAGTGCATTTCCTCTCCAAAAGGAAAACAATCTTTTTTTTCCCTACAAAGCCTTAACAAATGTGGTCTCTAGTCCATATTGTCATGTACAAGGCCCTAAACAGAACTTCCAGCCTGGTATGTGCTTCCTCTAGGATTGCAAAATGCATGTGCTGCCTGGGTAGCATGTGCTGGGTCAAAACTGGGTTGTTTACCATGTTGCTAGGGATAATTACCCAGCATCAGAACAGAGCATGAGAGTAGCTACCACATAACTCAGTAGGTCACGAGGACTCAAGGGCTGCCATTACCTCCTCATGGCCATCTCTCCCCACCGCAGCCCCTCCTTGGTACATAGGGTACCATGACACATAGTGGACCCTTGGCAACGTAAATGTGTGATCAGATGCATTCAGCCTCTCCATTGCCATCGCCACCCTCCTGACCTTTCTGCGAAGCAGATCTCCTCTTGTAAGCCTTCTTGACTTGCGATTCGTTTTGGAATACTTTGAGTTGAAACAAAATTCTTTGAGAAAAGATGGATCCGAAGGCTCTGATTTTAGAGGGCACTATGTGTCAGCAGACCCTAGGAAGAAGAGAAGACAGGAGAGGCTGTGGAGGGTCTTCTGACATGGCTACTCAGATCTGTAGATGCCTGATCCCTAACCATGATATATGGAGGACACCAACCACTCTTTTTATTTCTGTGTTGTTTCGCAACACACAAGACTGCTTAGGGCTAACATTAGCAGATGAACTCCTCAGCACTGGTGGGTCTACAAGGTGATGGCTGGAATGAGTGGTCTGCTGGGCACAGGGCACAGGCCAGGCTCAGGATTTCTGAATGAGGAATAGCCTGGAAGTCCCATGGGGCCATGCCAATGCTACTGAGGGAAAATTCCACCTACTATCCACTTTAGCCATCTGTTAAGATAAACCTCACCCACTAGGCTTAAGAACAAATGGAAACTACAACAATGTTATCAAGGTGCCAGCCCCATCAAAGACTCAAACAATTTGCTGTTTGTTTTTCCCACAGTGGAACCCACTCAGCTCCTTGAAATAGCTCTGAACACCTCCAAGGGAGATGGCATGTGTGTCTCTCTTCTTAAGGCCCACAGCAGGGATCACGGTGAAAAGTCTTAGGATGACTTCAGAGGATCTAACTCCAGGGTGAATTGGCTTCACCAGGAGTAATTCTTGGTTGTCAAAAAGGGAGGCCAGTGGGTACCCGGGGTGGTGGTGGTGCTACTGGTATCTAATGGGTAAGTCCACAGACACTAGTAAACTTGCTCAGGATACATAGATGAAGAAACAAATTCAGGTGAGGAAGGCTTGGGTAGACTGTAGGGTAATGGCAGGGTAGCTTTGAGGGGTATTGAGAGAAAGCAGGGGCTGTTTGGAATGGGGAGACTAGGGGTTTGCTTTATAAGCATGGGACCTGGCCTTAGGAGGGAGGGAGAGAGAGAGAGAGAGCGCCCAGGTTCCCGTGTTGTTCTACAGACTGCCACACACATTTTATAAGGGAATGAAGATGTAGATAGAGGGCCGTTATTGGTTTTACATGTTGTAAAAGAATATAAAGGAAAGGAAACTGATTGGAAGCATGCTGAAAGTGCATAGTGTTCTGCTACATAATATCTCCTAGAAGCTTTTAAGGACTTGAGACACTGTAGGAATGGCAATTCATTTGTTTTCCTGAAGCTCTCTTGGACTGGGAGAATAGTTCTACGCATTTGTCCATATTGCTTTGCTTTAATGACCTTTATGTTATTACCAGGGGACAATACATACTGTGAGAGTGTTCTATTTTTACTAATAATGAAAATTGCTTGGTCCTAAACCACTACACACAGTTGATGGGATGTAATCAACCCAATCACTATGGAAGTGGTTGTTAGGAAGTTCCTCAAAAAAATAAAAACAGAATTACCACATGACCCAAATATACCTACCACTCATAGACATACCTGAAGGAGTCTAAGTCAGCATGCCACAGAAACGTCTACATACCCATGCTTACTCTAGCACTATTCACAACAGTCACAATACAGGACTAGCCTGGATGCCCATCAACAGATGAACGCATAAAGAAAATGTGGTATGTACACAGTGGGGTTTTATTCAGTCATGTCATCTGCTGTGGGAAAATGGGTACAACTGGGGATCATCCTGTTAAACAAAATAAGCCAGATGCAGACAAATACTGCATGCATTTTCCTATATGCAGAATCAGAGTTAAAAACAAACAAACAAAAACAGAGGGGGGAGTATTTGATAAAAAGAAAGGAATGGGGTGGGGGGAAGGTGTCAGGGAGAATGTGATCAAAATATGTTATATTCATGTGTAAAAATGTCATAATGAAGCACTGCTTTGTACATATTTTTTAAAAACACATGCAGCCCTAAATGTCAATAGTGGTGAGGTTAGAGACCCCGGGCTATAAATAGGAAATATGGATTCAGACACAGACAGTAGACTCACTTCCATCTCACAAAACCAGAAAACCTTCTCATGCAAGAGATCTGGGCTTTTGCCAGTTGTCATCTCGATAGTCTCATCAGGACCAGGTCCATCTGTCCTCTGGGTTCCAAGATGCCTACAGAATTTTCTCTGATCGCTTCTGCCCAAAGGAAGGTGACTCCGTTTCACCTTAGGTATTCCTAAAGGGACATCACCTTCCCTTAGTTTCAAGGCCTAGAATCAGACAACATGGCCAGCCTCCCCATTACTGGCCTGGAGGAGGACGTGGCAGGGTGGAGACCCAGCCTCCCTGAAACTCAGCCAATGGCAGTTTCTTGGCAGGGCAGGCAGAAGAGAAGAGCAGGTGCGGGAGAGTCAAATGGCAGCATCTTCTAACAGTGTAGCACAGACAAGGCTTCTGTCAAAGTCTGTGCAAGGACCACCTGGAGCCTGGCTGAAAACGCCATGGGCGGGGGGACAGCCCTTTGAGTCTGTGTTTGCAACAGGCTCCATGGAGGGGACAGGATTGCTGGCCCGCGAGTCATTCGCTGAGCAAATCACCGCATGATATTATGTATTCCTTTTATGTTATCCATCAAATAAAACTTGCTGTCTTGGCCTGGTGTGATGACTCAAAGGGGATAAAGGCAGGCACCACCAAGCCTGATGACTTGAGTTCCTTCTACAGGGAAGGAGGAGAGAACTGACTCTCAAAAATTACCCTCTGGCCTCCACGTGTGTTTTCATGACATAAATGCCCCAATCCCAGTGACTGTGATAAAATGTGTTTTTAGTCGTTTAACCCTCAGAAATGGTGAGTGTTTTCACAATGATGTGCAACCTATCTCTGGGCCTCTTCATTTTACAGATGCAGCCTCCATATCCACAATGACTTCCCCATCCTCTTTTGCCTACACCCTGCCCTTCAATTGTTTACTTTCTGGTCCCATGGATTGGCTGATCTAGACACTTTCTAAACAGGGAATCTCACAGCATCCTTTTGTGAAATTTTTCTTAGCACAACGTCTTCAAGGTTCACATATACTGTGGATTGTACTAGAATGGCCATCGTCTTTAAGGATGGATAATATTCGGTTATATGCAGCAGACCATACTTTCCCTGATTGCTTGGGTCACTCCTCACCTCTGGCCTGTGGGAGGATTGCTGGCATGAACACAGGAGCATAAGTGTGTCTCTGAAGTCCCGATTCCAGCTCTTTGGGTTACATATCCAGAAGCAGAAATGCTGCATTGCATGGTGACCCTATTTAGATGTCTTTTTTAAAGCAATCATCGTAATTCTGCATTTGACTGCACATTATACTCATGTGAAGATTTATACAAGTGACTTTTGTTTGACTTCTCTACCGGGGAAGACCCTGCTATCACAGGTGTTCTCTCGGTGGCTGCATTCTGAACCACAAAGGACTGCTTGGGGACACACTGGCAAGGAATGACCTCAGCCAGTTCTGGTTTGAGACACTCAGCAAGTCCCCTGCTTAAGTAAAGAATAAAGGAGTCAGTGGTTCCTCCTCCTGGTTTCTATTTATTTATCTTGGGATTTGGCTGGGCCTCCAAATCTTTCAAAACCCCCTTCCTGGAAGCTGGGCATGGCATCATGCACCTTTAGTCCCAGCACTCAGGAAGCAGAGCCATGTAAATATCTGTGACTTTGGTCTACAATGAAAGTTCCAGGACAGCCAGGGCAACAAAGTGAGACCACCCTCTTCAAACAACCAAACAAACAACCACAACAATAATACCTCCCTTGTAGCGTGTAGCATGTCTGAGATTTGAAAACCACTACTTCCTTATTTTTCTTAGACAGTTCTGGGCTACTTTGTTGGAATGATGGGCTTCAGCAGGGTGGGATTTTGTGTATGACTGATATGTCTGTGTCACCATATGGCACACTCAGCCCAGCTCCAAGGCAGTTAAGTGTTACCTCCAGACTACCAGGCACATGAAGACAATGATTCTCTGCCTACCCCACCTCCTCCATGGCTTTGAACTCAGAGACCTTCAGAGCAGGCAGTCCTTGGGAATCACCTGCTCCCTTTTCTTTCTTTCTTTTGAAATTAAAGAAATATTCCTGTATTTCAAAGGGAAATTTATCTGGATGTACTCATGTAGTGCTATCAAAGCAGAGTTACTCCAGGACTTTGGGAATGAGGCAAGATCACCGAGACCCGGGAGCATCTCCCTGGCCTCCAGTGTTCCCCTTATCCGTGTCTGATCTAACCTAAATCATTCCGCCTACTGGGAAACCAAGGCTCAAGAATTGAGTCCTTGTGCTGGGGACCATGCATCTGCTGAGCAGCCTGACTTTCTGTCTCCGGGTGGAGTATCCCTCTCTGGGGACATGCAGTAGCCTCTGGACTGCTGCAGTTGGGCACAAGATCGAGTACTTGGCTACCAGATACCATCAGAGCAGCTGCAAATGCCTTGGCACAATCCTGCCAGGGAAGACCCCCCTCCCCCCCATTACAGGTGTTCCCTCTGTGGCTGCATTCTGAACCACAAAGGACTGCTCCGGGAGGACACCTGGCAAGGAATGACCTCAATCAATTCTGGTTTGAGGCACTCAGCAAGTCCCCGGCTTAAATAAAGAATAGAGTCAGTGGGATTTAATCACAATTCCCAAAGGAACTACCTTCCCTCACAAACTCCACACCATTTAAAGGTCATTTTCAAAGGCTACATAATGGGTTTTAAAGAAGTATGCCGCCCCCCCCCCACATAGAGAGGGGTGAGATGGAGGGACTTCAGGGATGTCATGCAGATGCTTATCTAGGGTTTGGCGTGCAAGCTGCAGTTGGTGCATTCTAGCAGGTGTGTCTACCCCTTGACCAGTAAGGCCACATGTACTGAGGACAGCTACCAGTACCAATGGCAAACTTACTTAAAGCAGTATGAGCTCTTCTTTTGTATTTTTTTCAGGGGGAGGGGAGAAGAGTGAGGAACTCGATTGTGTACTTTTTGAGCATAAACTTCGTAAATGACAACATGTATCACAAAGGCCAAAAGGTTGGACCTGATGCAACAGGAATTCAAAATGGAACATCTCTCAGGAACT